AATACACGATTTGAGGTTCCTTGATTCCAAAAAACTAAGTCCTGCAAAATGGTCTGTGTGTATGCGATCTAGCTCATAAACGAAAAGTCGTTTTAATATCGTCGAAACTGATATTACGTATTTAAGGTAGGTATATGCCTTAGATGTGACAGAATATTTATTTATTTTTTATAGAAAGTTACAACGTTAAATGGTTAATTATTTCAAATAAAACAAATTAAAGGTATTTTAGAGGAAGGTATTTTTAAAATTAGGTATTTAGACGCTGTTATTGAACATCAATGTACCTACATTGTTACATACATGTAATAGCCTACAATATATTAAAAACAGCTTAATTTTACCTTCGTAAAAGTACCCAAATTCGTTAGAGCCGTTAACATATTTGGTTCTATAAATCAAGTTGTTTCCAAACTTCTATTAAATTTTTTCTTTTTTTTTATAATTTATTTAAGATATTTATAAATGTATTAAAGAAATACATCTACTAAATTTGAACCTCTGGACATAATGACATGAAAACACTAGCTGAGTAACTACCCAATAGTAGCACTCTAATGATATATCTACATTAGGAGATCACGGGGCCATCTTCTTTTCAGACGCCTCGGAGGGTTATCAGGAATCGAAGAGGAAGCAAGGTTAGAAACGAGAGGGTTGATATGGTTCTGAAGTTTATTATGGAAGGATAGGACCAGATCGGAAAAATAAGAAACATTAAGGTCATTATGGATGGGTTTATTTGTAAGAAAGTAGGGAGCATTGACGACTGTTAAAATTTAAATATTTATCTCTTCTTCAAATTTCGATTTTTTTTTTTTTTATTTCTTCTTCTTTAGGACTTTCTCCAAGAAACCAAATTTCATAGACAAGAGCGACAGCGCATGCCTCGGCCCTTCCAAGAAAATAAATTGATATCCTCTCCTTAACTTAAAAACGGAGCTAATGGAACTATGAAAATCATAATTTAGTTTTTCATTTGTTCTTTAGTTTGAAATTTCTCTTCAATTGCAAACTCGCAAAAATATGAACCCCTCCAAAAATTCAAAACAGTGTCAAAATTTTTATGGCGTAACTTGCGCCATGTAACCTTCCTCTGGAGACCCCTGTCAACTTTTCCATAACATTATCTTGTAATTTTGTACGCATTGCGATTCTTTGAAAAGAATCTTTTGCGTTTCGGGTGATTTCCCTGTGCGTTATTCTCTTTCCCTCTTCGGTAACCCCATATATGGGGATGTGCCGAATACCACCAAAGTATCCATACCCCTTTTGGCACGATACTTTAAATGAAATATTAACATGTTCTTAAACTTAGCACTGAGCTCATCGATAGCATCAGAAATTATCAGAGCGTTCCTAAGCTCATTGATGAAAACCATCGATGGGATTCAGCGTATTTCTCAAATCTACAATTGAATCACCAATGGCTCAGTGGTTTTTGGATTTTTTTTATTATTATTGCTATAATTAATGTGTTTTTTTTCTACAGGAATTCAAGGACCGTTTAAAAATTATTTTATATATTTTTTTCATTAAGAGTAATTATATAATAAAAAAAAAATCTTTCCTGCAAAATTAAATCCTGGAACCGATAATGCTTCAGTTCCATGCAAAACGTTTTCCTCTACTCCTTATTCCAAAAATTAATAACACTGAGGCCCGATGTATCGATATTTTTCGTACTATCCACACAATAATAATAACAATAGTTTTCTTTCGATATTGAATATATATTAGAGGGATGTAAATATATATACAGTGGTTTACATTGAAATTAATACCCCCCATAGAAAAATAGGAAAAGTAGTCTTAATTGGTTACAGTAAACAAATAAAATTAGAAATCTTCAACAGATTTATTTATAATCTCAATTTAAATATGAACAAACTCAATACAATTAAAATATTCAACTGTGATATAAAATAAAAATGTGAAAAATAAAATTTAATTCCTGATATAGGCTAAAAATGATTTTTTTTTTTTTTTCATCACTAGTAAATTGCTTAGAAAAAGACAACAATCTCGATTGCTTCAGGTGATTTCCCCTTCCCCCTCCCCCCCAAAAAAACAAACCAAAGATATAAGCATTGCCGCAGAATGTGTGGAAAAATGTCAAACAACATATTAACACGAAATGGTCCGATTTTAACGATTTTTATTGGAAATTTAAAAAAAAAACTTTTAAAAGACTATAACAACAACCCAAAAAAAGTGTATACTTTTTGATTTATTGGAAAATTTAATTTAACTGCCCCTAGTAACTTTTTTTCCAGCGTCTTTTCGGTGAGATAAATTTAAAGGAAAGCCGGAACTGTAGCCAATTTCATCGAAATCGGTGCATTCGTTTAGATTTTACTTTCTATAGGCTACAGTTTTACATTCTATACGCCGCCATCTAGATAGGAAAGTACTTTTCGGTGAAATATGTTATGTACATAAATTTAAAGGACTTCAAGGAAATGACTTTGGCCAAGTTTCATTAAAATCCCTTTAGGCGCTACGGTCTTTAGTGACAGGTTTTTCGACCGCCATCTTGAAATGAAAGGGTGGATGGGTGCCCATCTTCCCAAAGTCGATGGTGCTTTAATCCCCCCTTCTCTCATGATATTTTATTGCTCTCATCTTCTTAAAAAACAATACAAGCTAAAGTCTAATTTTAAAAATAATTGGTCATATACAATGACACTTTCAGTGGTCTTTTGTTTGCTTTCCTCTTGATCCTCGGTTTGAAACTTTTCATTTCGAAAATTCACAACCCCGTCGAAATGTGCCCCTCAAAAATTCAATACCTCTTCAAAATGTGCCCCCCTCAAAAATTTTGATGGTGCAACTTGCGTCACGAAACCCACTTCTGGACAACCCTGATGCCGAGCAACAACCGGTCTATTAGTCTCGGAGAAAAGTCCCAGACGCGGACGGATGGATTTTTTTTTATTCGATTTTTGGATTTTACGTATCTTTAAACGTATAACTTCAAATTTTGAGGAGAGGGCTAACTTTTCATTTTCTTTATTGATTGTCAAAAATCATTATATAAATAGGTAAACGCAAAACGGTTCAGCCCTTTTTACTCCTCTATTATTCAACCGATTTTCTTCCTTCTTTTTTTATTTCATAGATATTGACGAGCTTTAGTGTTATCAATAAATAAAAATATTAAATAGAATGTAAATAAAAATATAAATGGTAATTTGTTCAAAACGGCTAATCTCCGAAAGTTCTTCACCGATTTCTTTTAAATTTTGACACAACGTCGCAATAATATTTAGAAGTGTTTTTGTATACGTTTCATTATCATGAGGCCTTTTCTTTGGAAATAGCGGCTGAAAAACGTGATTCGCTTTAAACTGTAGCGCCAATACGGCTTCAACAATTTCAATGAAACTTGGCTAAAGTCTTCCCCTTGAAACATTTATACTTTATGTATATAACATACTTTCCCGAAAACAAGCTGCATACATTTTTATGATGAATTCAGTATTTTATTTTGAATAACTCAAAAAGTACACTTTTTTTTTATCGATATACCAATATTCATTTGAAAGTTTTCTTGATTTTCTGCAAAGTGATAAAAAAAATCATCGAAATCGGACTATTTGGTGCAGAGATATATCATTTTAATCATTTAGTACGCTTTCTTTTGCAAAGTCGATTTCCATTATTTTGGTTTTTGATAAATCGAAAATTTTACATTTAATGAAGTAATCGGGACTATTATTTGAAGAGATTATATCATTGAATGTTAGTGGAATGTTAACTCATAAATTAAATTTAAAAGTAAATTCTATAGTTATAATCATTTTTATCTTAAATACTGTACAAGCATTAGTTAATGGAACACGAATGAGAGTGAAGTACTAACGGGAACTACTTTAAATGAAAGAATTTCAACTTCAAGAATTAATTTAATATTTTCTACCACAATACTTACATTCGACATTCAAAGAACAACATTCTTATTAATAGCTGCATTTGCTCTGACCATAATCAAATCACAGGATCAAACTTTTGGAAAAATGTGTGTATTATTGCGACGTTCAATAATTTCGCATGGACAATTATATATGGCAGCAAGTTCATTTAAAATATTAAAATTTATATTTTCAATGGCAATGGGCAAGGCTATGCACTAAACAATAACAGAACATTGTTTCAGAGAAGTTCTGAATAAAAATGGGTTTAAAGTGAATTTAAATTGCTAATTTAAATTTATTTTTTACTTGCTTAATCATAACATTAATTTATTGTGATAACATACATAAATTAAAATGGAAATTAAATATATTTGAATGAGTCTATTTTGTATTACTTATGAATAATTATAAGTAGTTTAAGCTCGATTTTTAATTGAAATCACTAGCGGATCCAGGATTTAACTTTTGAGGGGAAGCTTCAGCCCGAAAGATTTTTTTTTCATAAAAATAACGATAATTACTTTGGAAAAACAGAAAGAAACTAACTACCTATATGAAATGGCGTTTAAGTGATTCCTTAAGTTCTTTTTAATGTAATTACACGAACAATAATACTTTAAGAGGTATTTTTTAAATTTTGTTTAAATAAAACAAGGTTATATTTTACTGTTTGGGGGGGCTTCAGCCCGAAAGCCCCCCTCCTCGTAGATCCGCCCGTGATTGAAATCGAAATTTTGTTTATATTAATAAATGAGGATTTTTGAATTGTGATTTACTATTTATTTATTTTATTTATTTTTATTTAATTATGTGTTTTTCTCAAATTTTTAATGGCTCTGGGCGAACACTAATAAGTCTAAATCTGGATAAAATAAACCAACCTGGCAACACTGTACCCAATAATAATAAGTCACTTTCAGTTTTACCAACATATAGAAATAACTGTTGACATTTTATTTAAATTATAACATTCATTATTATTGAAAGCGGACAAGACAATAAAAATTAACTAAATTATTTAAATGTAGAATTATCATTCTAATTATTGTAGCTTATACAGCCCTTTCAGTATGACAATGGAATAATTGAGACGTTGCAGCCAAGATGGAAGGAAGAAGAATGAATGACAGTTGTAGACGAACTGTTTATCCCCGATTAGGGACTGATAGTGGTTGGGATTTCCCACTCAGGGTCATTATAAATGCTGGCTTCAAACCAGTTCCACACCAGCAAGATGCGTGCCTTGTTACTAGTCGTTTCGCTCCGTGAGTATATTCGAGTTTTTTTATAAGTTTTCGACAGTATCAAAAAAACTTCTAGCAGTGGATATATTCTATCTTATCATTTCTCAGGTTTCTATTTCATAAACAATTATAACCAGTTTGTGATAAACAATTTGACAGTTCATCCAAATTTGTTTTGTTTTGTTAGTCAAACCTTAACAAAGTAATCAAATAATGATTCCAACAAATTAAAAGTCAATCTAATACTTTACTAGAACTTAGATCATTAATCTATAAGTTATGTCATTTTCAAACAATATTTTAAAATGTAGTAGATAAATTCTATAAATCTAATAATCTATTTGTTCATATCCAGAGTTAGTTTGATTATGTCAAAAATTCTTTTGAATCCCTTAGATTTCTTATTAAAAATGTCTCACAAGTTTAATTGTATTTAACTTCTTTTTTTTAGATGTATCTCATGTCTTCTGTGATCTGAGAGAAAGGAGAGCGGTGGGATGCACTGGGTACGTATTTTATTAAAAAATAATTCTATATTTTGTATTATAATAGCATTGTTCAAATATTTAAAAATTAAATAAATGATTTTCGGAATTCTGAATAGAGATTCTATATCTCAATTTATTTTCTCATTAGGGTTATAGGTCAAACCATTCATTGTTGATATGATGTGTTATCTGTTTGATTTGTAGTTAAATTAGAAAAATATCTTACATATTCCTTCAATTTACATATCTATTAAAATCCATTAAATTTTAATGTTATGTTTGTGAATGTTTACATATCTATATTAGGTTTTAAATAATACTTTGCATACTCAAGATTTACAAAAAAACCATTTATGAACAGGTTCTTTACCAATGACAGTCCAACATCCTCTAATAATAAAAATAATTTATACTAAATACTATCTAATTTTATGTTATTTAATTGTAAATATTAATAGTTGTACAGTTGTTATTATTTTCAAAAAATAAATTTTCTCTCCAATTATTTCACAAAAATTGACTCTACATCAGAAGTGTGGAAACAACTTTCGAAAACAATGGTTAATAAATCAATCTTTTTTTTTTATAATACTTAAAACAATTTTTCAACAAAATCTTTTAACAATTTTAATATTATTGAAAATGATTCAATAACCTGAAACGTTGACAATAAAAGGAATATTATAAAAATGTATGTTTTTTGATGATCCTCGGCGATTAAATAATAAGCAATCTATTTATTTATTTGTTTGTACACGAGGAAGTGTCCTTGGTTTTAAACTGTATGGCTTGTAGCTTAAACTTAAGCTTTATTCTTTAAACGCAGGAAATTTCAATTTCCTGTTTTAAACTGATTTTTTATTATATTTTTTTTTCATAATATTTAAAAAATACATTTTCAAATAATATCAGTAATATTGGTAATAAAAGCAGTGCCTGAGAGTCAAAAAATAGTGTTTTATGTTTTTGTTTTTTTCAATTGCTGACTGTTTCCTTCTAAATATTAAATTTAATCTAAAATTTTTGTTATTATTTTGTAGAAAATTTATATAATGATTTATATTATTTTGATCTTTGCAACAATTAACAATAACTCAGTTTTTTTTTTTTTTTCAGGCCTTCATTTCGTTGTTCAAATGGGGAATGCATTTCATCTACTTCTGTATGTGATGGTGCAGTAGATTGTAGAGATCGTAGTGATGAAACGCAAGCTGTTTGTACTGAACTTAATTTACCGTAAGGAACAATACCATTTTATATAAGTCAAAATATTTATATAGCAATTTATATCAGACTCAAGTTGTTATCGTTAGAAATATTGAAATTTCTTATTTAAATTAATTTATTTTGAATGTGTACATAAAGAGAATAAATATGTGTCAAAGTAACTTTATTGATTAACTTAAGTAACTTAAAGTTCAATATGTCAAAATTACAAATTCAATTACTGTTAACTTGTTTATAATTTTTCTTTATTTGATGTTGGGGTATCTTATAGAGTTATTTTCAAGTTATATTTTTATTTTATTTTTTATGATTTTAGATGCCCTTCATTCGCATTCCGATGTGCTTATGGAGCTTGTGTCGACAAATCTACTATTTGTAATGGAATCCAAGACTGTGCTGATAATTCTGATGAACTTTTACCCCAGTGTGTTAAATCAAATCCCATTGCTAAAAAATGCAAGTAAGTAAACAACTTTTTTAATAAAATATTAATATTAGCTTTTATTTTTATAAATATTCAGTTCATTGTTTAGATAAAGATAAATTTAAACGTATGTTAATGTTTGAAATACAATAAATTAATTAAATTTTCATTACATTGCAATGTTATAGCATGTTTTTTTTCTTAATTTTCATAAATAAAATTCTTATATTTTTGTAGGCAATATGAATTTCAGTGCGACTCTGGGCAGTGTGTCGATGAAGTTTCGGTTTGTGATGGAACCAGTGACTGTGTTGATGAGTCTGATGAAACAATTACCCAATGTATTAATATTAGGTCAGTACCCATTTTAATTTTAATTTATTTATTTTTTTCTGTTGGCATTACAAACCATGTAGATCTTTGCCACCTTAACAAGCCTGCTCTATCTCTGCCTGTCTTGGGCTGTTTCTTTCCAATTTTTTTTTTTTCTCCCTACCTGGCATTGCTGCCATACGGGCTGTTTTTTTTCTTTCCATTTATCTGCACCCAGCTCTATTGCATCTTTGTTGATTCTATCTATCCATCTGTGGCTTCCAATTGGATTGTTACGAGCTACATGTCCCGCCCATCTTAACCTCCATGCCTTCATATCATGGGGTATTGATAGACCAGTTTCTGTAAGCAGTTTATTGTCTTTATTCTCTATGTGTTATTACTCTGATCCTAGATAACTCCGGTTGTTGTGCAGAGAATTTTTCTCTCAAATCTTTCAACACTTTGTTCTAGGGTGCTGGATAGTGTCCAGGTCTCAGCCATATATTAGAACTGGTTTTGTCATAACATTGTACACCCTTAATTTGAGATTTTTCAGGATTTCAATACCTTCGAAAGGGAGAAGAAAGCTCTGTTTGCACAAGTTATACGCTGGTATATTTCTGCCGGTCAATCATTCATTGAGGTTATTGGGGAGCCGAGGTATTTGAATTTTTCTATCCTTGGAAATGATTTTCTTTCTACCCAAAACCTAAATTTTACTTTTTATATTACCTTCAAAATTATTCATAAAAGATGATAAAAGACGTATACGTGTAATAATACGTATTAGTAAAAAAAGACCTTTTTCAGACTCGATAAATAATAATTTTAGTTCAAATTTATCCAAATTTTCGTCTCTTCAAGCATCTTCAGGGATAGGCTTTTAAAAAAAGTATACAAATTTAAATATAATGAAATAGTATGACATAGATCATTAGATTAAATAATTATGTAAAATAAAAATGATTTTGTAAATGTAATCTAACTATGACAAAAAGTTTTTCCAGACTTGAAAATGGCCCTAGTGTTAGTCGAAATGTTGTTGAAATAAAATTAATAAATAAAATGTTGGTGAAAAACGGCCTAATTTATAAAATATAAAATATTTTCTTATTTAACAAATGGAAAATTTGTCAATGTTCTAATTGATTTAATATTATGAAAAGTCACTTAATGACTTTGTGATTAAACCGACGACGTATTTGTTAAGTATCTCAAAAATTTCATTTTGATACTAATATAAATATCAAAGACCAATATCGATATGAAATATTGGAACTTGCTCGATGTCGCAACAACCCTAGTCACTCTATCATAGTCTTATGATAACCCCGGTCCCCACTGCGACTCTCAGACATTATTTCAAGTTTTTAGTTAAGTACTTATTTTATTATTTAAAAAGTATAATCTCAATAAATTCTTTATAACATGAATTCTATTTCAGCAGAAATTTTTCGGGTCAATTTTTTTTCATATAAGTACCCAGTTGTACAGTGCTCGAAACTATTTTATTTCATAGACAATTTTATGGGTGATAAATATTCAGGACATAGTCATAAAGTTTTTATTGGTGCCGATGTTTCAACCGGATCATCATCAGGGCGTGTTTTGAGCACTGAAGGTATTCAAGTACTCAATGTCGGCACCAATAAAAATTTTATAATGATTACGTCCTGAATATTTATCACCCATGATATGTAGAACAGTCGACTAACTTCCTTCAATAATCGATAATTTTAATTATTTGAATGATTACTTATTGATGATTTATAAAATATATGTTCAGATGCCCAGCATACACCTTCCAGTGTGCTTATGGTGGATGTATCGATAAAATAAAGAAATGTGATGGTAAAGAAGACTGCAAAGATGGTTCTGATGAAGACACCGAGCTTTGTAAGGCAAGTAAGCCGAGGCAGAATAGTACAACAACTGTAAGGCCTACTCCACCTCGTCGTAAGAAACCAACAGACTTTAGGTATTTTATTTAATAGTTCAATGTTTTCTTAATATATATGATTAAATATGTTTTCTTGATTTAAGAATCTTAACAATGTCTAGATATGAGGTTTTTTAAATGTTAGTCTCTTTGTAAGATATATATGATACCTCACCTAATCATATATTTATTATATTTAAGAGAAGTAAACGAATGCATTTCTTTAAATTAGATCAGCTTGCCATCATCTTCACTGTTTTTTAATTTAAATATAATGTTATAAACCAACTTATCAAAATAAACCAGGGGTTGGAACTTTTTAGGAAAAAATGATCCATTTTAACAGTTTCTAAGAAAACCTTTTTGGAAAAAAGTTTTTTAAATACAAGTTCTAAGGAACTTTTTTGTATTAAAGTTCCAGGATTATGATAAAACTTTAACTTATATTTATTTAACTTCTTAAAAAAAGTTCTGTTAAATGAAATATTAACAGTAATTGGGCTTAGATTAGATTTATAATTTGTCTTGAATGAATTATACATGATTATAATGTATTGTTTATTTGAGTAATTATGAATAAAATTCATATTTTAGATTGAATTTTTAGCAAAATCTATAGAACTTTTAAATAAAAGTTTTTAAAAAATATAAGTTATGTAAAACCTTTACTCGAAATGAATTACAAATCTATAATAATGAAGCACTGATGTAAGCAAAATTAAATTTATATTTCAAACCCATTTTCCGTAACCTAGAATAGAACAAAAATGGATTATTCCAAATTCTAAAATTTAAATACAAAATACAAAAATGAAACTTTGGGAACACATTTTAACATTCAAAACTTTAGTTTTTAATTTTATCGTCATCATCAATAAAAAGATAATAATTATCTATAATTGTTATTGTTAATATACAAAGTTTAAGTAAAATATTAATTATTGATTAGTTAGCTGTGTGAATAATTTAGATGATATATTGGTGGTCAATGAACATGGAAATAATTAATAATAGTATTAATATTATTTAAAGAAAATAATTTAAGTAAATTTTTTTATTTTGATAATTTTTAAAAATTTCAAATATACATATGCATATATATGTATGTACCAGCCTATTATTTTTATAGTATTTTATTTAATTTTTTATGAAAAAAACACCAAAATCTGACACTTATCTCATCTACTTATTATTTTTTTTAAATGATTAAATTGTTGCTTTTTGCACTATTTTTGATTATTTTAAAATAATGCAGACTTTTTTAAAAATAATTTTAACATTAAGTTATTGCCTTAATTAGAGGTGGCTGCCCATTGCCTGAACAACCTGAAAATGGAAGTTATGAAGTAACTGGCTGTAACGAAGCTGATTTCAGCTCCAAGTGCCGTAAAGTTCCCGACACTATTGTCAGCAGCGATTCATCCTTGAAATATTCATGCAATCCTGGTTACGTTTTACCAGAAAACACCTACCGCATATTTTGCAGTGAGGGTACTTGGGAACCTACGCCTCCTCGTTGTCTAAGTAAGTTTAATTTCAGTTTTTTTATTTAATACTTAGTTTAATTTAATTTTGTATCACTTTAGTATTGAAGGCTGTATTAACCTAATGATTTTTTATTTAAATTTTAGAGTAAGATTGCATTGTTTCAGTTTTTCCATGCTTTATCATAGCAAAGTCTCACTTTTTTGGTTCTCTATTAATTCATTCAATCTATTATTCACCATTCGTTGTGGGATAAAATTCATATTATAGATTGTTTCTGATAAATTGATATCTGTTATCTATCTTTGTGGCGCTACAACCCTGAGTGGGTCTTGGCCTCCTCAATAAACCTCTGCCGTTTGGCTCTGTCCCGAGCTACTGCCTTTTCATCAATCCACCTTAACCTTGGTCTTCCAGCTCTTCGGGTACTACTATGAAGAACCTCTTTAAATACCTTCCACGGTATTTCTTTTTCACTCGTTCTAGTCACGTGACCAGTCCAAGTAGGTCACCCAAACTTAATGAATTTGACCATGTCTACCTCCTTGTAGATTGGTACAGCTCTCGGTTCTTCCTAATCCTTCATCCCTCAGCAACTCTCAATGGACCAATAATATGCCTCAAGATTTTTCATTAAATGGTCCATGTCTGTGAGCCATAGGTGAGAACAGGTCAGATTAAAATCTGTTATCTAGTTTTAAGAATATTGTTGGTATGTATCATCAGTTTTTTGTAAAATGTCACTAACTACATTTTGATGACATGTCCTGAGCAAGACTCAAATTAATGTCTTATCAGTCGTCTCTGAATAAATATCTGAACTATTAAATTGTTCCAAAGAAGGTGAATCTAATTTTGATAAAGGTATATCATTGTAATAAAATACTTTTATTAATCATTTTGGTTCCCATGAGTATGGTAGTATTTAAAGTACTGCTGGTACAATCTCCCTAATCCCTGCAGCTGGGTGCATACCATAGAGTTTCGACAGGTGGTTTGATAAAAGTATTTATATATCTAGTTCTGGACTTAAGGCATGGCAATATGGGCATATGCCCAGGGGCGCCAACCTGAAGAGGGATACTTACTTGCCAATTGTTGGGGCGCCAAATGTTAAAGATTGGTGTTGTATACACCCTCTGGCATTCAACTATTCTTTGAGCAACTTCAACTATTCATCTAGCTTGGATGTTTTAACAAGTCCACCACAGCTTTGGAGTAGATTAAAACGACGAAACCCATTTCTGTTGGACTCTTAGGGCACCACAAAAAATGAAGTTTTCTCTTCATTTTTTTTAATCCAAAATGCAAGTAAAGAAAAAGTAAAAAAACAACCAGTCAACATTTTGCCAATTCAAGCATCATCAAGACAGAAGAGGAAAGAAAATTGAACATCCAATAACATAGTTATAGAGTATGCATGTATGGGTATCCAATTATAACCTAACATATTGTAAATATTATTAATTCAGGCTCTCTAAAAAATTAAGAAGGAAAACAATATATATATATATATATTAATATTATGGATATTAGCAAATATATATTTAAACATTACCTTCACTTAAAAGTGACAATGGACAATATATTATAATTGTGGGTTTATGGTTAACTGTATTGAATAATTGAAGAGAAGGATGGTTGGGGTATTCAGTCAAATTTAAATGGTAAAAAATAAATAATTTTATTTATGTTTACATTCGCTGACTTTTCGGCCCAAAGTTCAGGCCTTCATCAGGGCTGGGAAAAGAACCAGATAACAATAGGTATAATAACATTGAATAGACATTGAAAAATACAGAATTAAGATTAAAAAAAGGGTGATAGGTAAAGATTAAGTAAAATGAAGTAGATAGAATGAGAACCGAAGTTGTTATACTAAAAATTATTAGTCTTTACCTATCACCCTTTTTTTAATCTTAATTCTGTATTTTTTAATGTCTATTCAATGTTATTATACCTATTGTTATCAGGTTCTTTTCTCAGCCCTAATGAAGGCCTGAACTTAGGGCCGAAACTTCGGCGAATGTAAAAATAAATAAAATTATTTATTTTTTACCATTTGAATTTGGCTGATCCTCCCAACCATCCTTATCTTCGACAATATATTATACCTGCACAACATTGAAACAAGTTTTTATAATGGAGATACAGCTCCAAATGTTAACTAATAATTACATATTGTTATATTGGAATGGTAATGTCTGTATTAGTTATATTGGAACAGCTTATTTTTGCTAAAATCAAGGAAAAACTATTTTTGACTTTCTAGAAAATTGAGATGAAAAAAATACATATTAATTTTTTTATTTTTTTTTATTTTTAGAGTTGTGTAAGGGATTACATTCAGATTCATTGGATTTAGAATGTTATTACCGAGGCAGTAAAATTGACTGTGGTCAACCCATGAGACCAGGAACTGAACTCAAAGCTACCTGTAAACAAACGTACCACATCGGTGATCCCTCAACTTCTTTCACGATAACGCAATGTTTGGCCGATGGTACTTGGGCCAACGAACTGTACAAGTGTGTTCCAGGTAATCCTCAGCCCCCTGCATATCCTATTGTATACCACATATACAATGTGTATGTTGTCAATTTAGCATCCGATAAACAATTTACAAGTGCAGATTTCATAAAAGTTTTTACTGATAAAAGTAAACGTATCGATTTTTTAAAATTTTTTATTAATAAAACTGAAGACATAGATTTTTCGAAATCATTCATTAATAAAACTGAAGGTACAGATATTTCAAAATCATTTACTGATAGAAATGAATACATGGTAATAAATAATGTCAATGTTGAATGAGATTTAGTCATTGTATTGACTGTAAAATATTTGGTTCCTATAGTTTAGATTTATACCAAATTTGAGGCTTAGGTTTATACCAAATTTAAGGCTGTTCAAATACGAGCATATTTTTCTGTCAAATATATGTGTAGACATTAGATATATTTATCATAAGGATTGCCAATATTTTAGCAAAAAAAACAACATATAGTCAATCAGTAAAAGGGTGTACTTTTCTTGAAATATTATTCTGAATCAAAGTCCCTTCAGGGTTTATAATTCATAAATATTAAACAATTTTTACTTGAAAATTATTTTTAAAATCTTTATTTATTTCATGCTTACAGTAATATTAACTTATTTAACTAAATAAAAAAAATATTTTAAACTGCTATAAATTTAGACGAACTATTATTTAATCATTTTTTTTCTCACAATTTTATTGTTCCAATTTAAATTGTTTTTTCAAATATTATTTTAAATATCATCAAAGAATGTATTGAAAAGTCTTTTATGATTAGTATCTTCTACAAATCATCAATCACACTTGTACTTTATGAGATATTAATGATAAAACGTAATGAGGTTATTTGAGATGTTAAAATCCAATATATTAAATTCAGAAGTTATATTATTTTTTTAATCGGACATTTATATTTGAAGGAGATAATTAATTGATAGTTGGCAATCCTGAGTTCTAGTGCTAGAAGGAAAGAAAGTTGTTCCTTATGAATTTCTAGTTCCTTCATATTGAGGGTTGCCATGTTGGGTCTTTCCCTCCCCCCCTCCCCTATATTTAGTTTTGTTAAAGAAATTTTTATTTTTTATCTACTGCTAAATGTTCTCACTATTTTTATCTGTTTACAAGCTAAACATTAAAATGAGTGAAAAAAAGACTAGTTTGAAAACATATCTTGAAGTTTCTATTTACCAAATATCGAACGTTTGGTAAAAAGATTAATAAAATCTGACGATAAAAAACTAATAAAAAGGTGTTTTCATGGTCTTTATTGTGACATTACATTTTTATAGTTCTGTTAAATTATTGGAATTAAAATAAAATAAAATATTTAACATATAATGTCCAATTTTAAGGCTCATGATTATCACACTCTTTGTGACTGTGATAGTTGAATAGAAAGTAACAAAATTATATCGCCAAATCGCTCAAAAATATCGCATTTTAATCAAACGAGCCTTAAACATTTGAACTACCTTATATACCTGTTTTTTTCTGGCCGACTTTCCTCAATAAAATAATTACTTAAATAATTTAACTGTTTAAAATAAGATTAAATTAAAATTTGTTTAACTCATCGTTAAACATTTTTTTTATTATGTGTTCCCTCTAGTATTATAAATAGTAAAAATTCTTAAAGACTTACTCCAGAAGGATAATTTTGTTTGCAATAATAAAGAAAACAAGAATTTAAAATTTAGAGATAAAGTTGGGGGGTTTAGGAGAAAGTAGATGACTGTTCGGCAACCCTGCTCATATAGTCATTTATAGAATTTAATTTCATAGTCATTAGATTTATTTTTATTGTTGTATATAGTTGTGCTAGTTGAAGTATATTTTGTGTCAAGCATTGTCTGAGGAAATGTACAAATAAAGAAAAAATTTAAATAACATCTATGTAAAAAAAAACTGGATTTCTTTTATCTATTGATACAGAGTGTCATTAAGAAGCAAATCATAATACTCTATTAATATTTGGGTTTAAACTACTTTTGATATTAAGGTTAGCCAATCTATAATTGATATTATTAAAAGTTCTTGACTTTTTTCCATTACTTTTTATTTTATTTCTTTGCCAATGAACATCTAGTCTTAAATATGTGAACCTTTAATTTTAGTTATTTGATATTAATGAAGTATGTTATAGGTTGACTGTATATTGTAGATTGAAAAAATAAAATTAGTTTATATAGTATGATAAGTTCAAAGACATTTATCAATGCTTATTCTATTGTTTTGCAAATTATGCTAGCGGTGACTGCCAAGCATACTGTTTGTATTTTTTTATTGAAACTGTTCACTGTGACAGTTTTCCTCTATGCAGATAAATATATATACTAGTCCTTAATAAATAAAATAAAAACAATCAAATTTTTATTGAAATAATAAAGATATGTAAAAATAGAATGAACAGAACTTGTTTTTAAATTTAAGCAATGAGAAAAATTTAAACAAAGAATATTTATCAATTATTGGTGATTATTAAAATACCTTTACACGCTATACTACTTTGAGTATTTAACTAATAAATTAAATTTTGCTTATCTTGTTTTTTCTCAATATCCTTTAATTTTTTTTTTACTTTCACTTACCTATAATAATATAATGCAATATATAATAAGGGTAAGTATTGCGATCGTGAAAATTTTCGAGTCTGAATTTTCAACGGAAATACATGTTTTGAGGTCTCCTGAGTCCAAATAGTCAAGTCCCGCAAAATGGTCTGTGTGTATGGATGTTATCAGTCTAGCTAAAAACAAAAAGTCATATGAAAGTGAAATTCCATATTTAAGGTTTTTATAAGCTTTCGATGTTACAGCCACATTTTCGTCGAAATTGGCAAACCGGAAGTGGTACTTTATATTATCGATTTAACACATTTTTACGATTTCATCAAAAACAGCTCTAACGATTTTGATTAAACTCAGTATATCAGTGTATTATTAAGCAGTTTTTAATATAATGTAGGTTTTATTCTCTATCACTGCTTAAATGGCTAATTTTCAATATTGGCTTCCTTTAAAGTACTTTAGTACTCACCTACATGAGTCTAGTTTATCATAACTGTACATTGACTTATTATAAAAACAATAACTAAACTATGGAACAGGCTGTTAGAAATGTATTGGTTTCAGAAAGTGCAGAAGTTTCTGAAGTAACTATTTAGGTGGCTAAGGAATACTGCCAATTACATTGTACGTCTTGAAACTGGCCGAAACACCTTGAGTGTCAGGGTTATGAGAAGGATTATAAATTACTGGTCTAAATTGTTGCTTATGCCTGAAGAGAGGTTACCAAGGCTTTGCTTCAACAAATTAATTTTGCTGGATACAAGGAATCCTGTTATAAACTTTAATTGGATCACACAAGTCAGATCAATAGCTGCTCATTATGGCTGTAATGAAGAGTTTGATAAAGTATAGCCAACTGGATTATTAAAAAACAGCGATGAAATATTGGAAAAGCTAAAAAAACCATAACCTACCTAAGGACATCCATTTATCCATAAATTCCAACAACAATCCCATATATAGAACTATTTTCAGCCCTGAGTCCTATTTGATGTATAGAGCTAACATAAAAAAGCAAAGATCAGTGAGTCAGTTAAGGGTTTCAAATCCCAAATTAATTAAGCTCTATAAGAAAAACAGAAGTTTCTACTTCAAAGCCCAGGAAACCTTTCTATTTAATTGTATAGAATATGGCAAAATAAAATTAAAAATTTGTATATATAAAAGAGTATTTAAACATATAAAAATACCCACAATAAATTGTAAATAAATCTAGTGTCAATAATTTTTACTTTCACTTCTCCTTTGTCTGAAAATATTTATTTCTGCTAAGAAGAGGATGGTAAGTGAATGTCGTCTGATGCATGCACCAGATTTTGTTTTTAAATTCATCTTTTGACATGTGTATGAGTTAATCCATTGACTTTAAAACTTCCCTCAGTTTATATCTGAAATTCAAGAAGTTATCATTATTTCATCGAAAATTATTTAAACCTGAACAGTGAAGATTTAAGTGGAACAAGCTTGGAAACTGACTGAAAAAAATTTATGATCGTTATAAAAAAAGTATAACTGAGATGACTAGCACAATTAAAATGAATTTTAAAATATTATTGAAACTCTTATACTTTACCTCTGTGAATGATTAAAATAAATATATTTTGTTACATCTTTTATTCTTCTTGAGCCTTCCTTTTCCTAGTGAAATACATAGATTTAATCTTCTTGTTAATTACGTTTCCTATTTGAAAATATTTTAATATTTCAAATTTTTTATTTTTATTTTAATGAAATTTACAACTGTATTACATGAAAAATACAACAAGTAAATGTGACATTGGTAACATGATATGTACAACATGAAGAGAAACTACCCATTGGTAGAACTCAAATTAAAGTTCTATATTAGAAGGTCCCGAGGCCATCTTCTTTTCAGATGCCTTGGAGGGTTATCAGGGATCAAGGAGGAAGGAAGGTTTGAAACGAGAGGGTTCGGATGGTTCTGCAGTTTGTTATGGAAGGATAGGTATCTGCGTTGGGCCAAATCGGAAACATATGGAACATTAAGGTCTTTATGGATGATTTTATTTGTGACAAAGTAAGGAGTGTTGAGGATTTTACGAAGGATTTTGGATTGTAAGGATCGGATACGAGAGGAATTCCATAAGTCCAAATAGGTCTTATTATTGTCATATTTATGAGTCGTTTGTAATTGATTGGAAGCTTAGAGGGTTTGTCTAGTAAGTGCTGCAGTAGTCGAAAACGTCGGACGGTTTCTAGTCGTTTCAGTCTGGTATGGGGGTTCCAAGTGAGTCGTTTGTCCAGGTGGAGTCCTAGGTATCGGATTTGTTCGACAGGGATAAGAGGGCTATTGTTGAAGGATACTGTAGGACAGGAAGTCATAGCTTCACGACGAAGAGTGGAGGTAATTTGTTGGGATTTATTGGAATTTATTTTAATCCTCCAGTTTTGCACCATTTTTCAAGCCTTGTGATGTGTGATTGAATAGTTTGGGATGCAATAGATGGATCGTTATTAACTGATAGGATACACGTGTCATCGGCATAGGTGGTGATGACAGCGTTGGTCAAATTTGTTGAATTAATATTATTCAATATAATCATAGATACATATTTATTCAATTCAGGTTTAAAATAATACCAATAAAAATCCAACACTTAGGGCTGGTTGGATTGCTTATGAGTTAGAATTGGTTTTAAACTGGTCTCTTATCAGTCCAGGACTGATTTCGTGCAGGTTTGAGGTTAGAATAAAATTTACTCAAGACTATTGGCAATATGTTGGGATGTTGGATATCAGGGGGCAATGCAAGATGGTAAACAAATTATTAAAAAATTCTGTAGCCTCTTGGCTTTTAGGCTGGAGCTCCCCATAAATAAATTATATATTTTTTTCATTTGTCCATATTTGTTTCTATGAGTAATCTGAGTCAAATAATTAAACAAATGAAAGTATGCTATCTTTTTAAAGTACAAGACATTACTTCAGCTTTTAAATGTAACAATATGTCGATGTAAAAAAAAGTCGTATCCCTAAAAACATTGCTTCTGTGATTACAGTTATTGAAATTTTTAAAAAATGGTTTATACTATGACTGAATCAAAAGTGACGATATATATGTTTTTATTTAGAAACAATATAATCCTGGATTAAGAAAATCCAAAATTACATCTGAACATAGCAACTTCCTTAACATGTTCAAGGCTGCGCATACCACCGGTGTCTCAGACTTGATTGTGATACCAGGTCTTATCACAGGCGGATCTATGGGGGAAGGGGAGGGGCTTTCGAGCTGAAGCCCTCCCTCCAAAATGGTAAAATGCAACCATATTTTATAGAAAAAATTATCTCTTAAAGTATTATTGTTTGTGTAACTACATTTTATAAAACTTCAAGAATCACTTAAATACCATATCATATAGGAAGTTAGTATCTCATTTTTTTTTCAAAATAATTATCGTTATATGTTTGAAAAAAAAAAGCTTTCGGGCTGAATTCATCCTTCCCCCCAAATTAAATCCTGGTTCCGCTAGTGGATGGTATATTACTCCAATAGTACACATCACTTGAGTAACCAGAAAAAATTATCAGGTTGAAAATTTAGTGTATATTAATTGAGAACATTTATTTTCAATAGAAATTGTAATTAATAATATATTATAAACATAATTTTAATTTAATAACATCAACATGACTTTTAGTCAATAATATAAATAATGGCTCCCGAAAACAGATGAATTCTCAGGTTTAAATTTTAAACACTGTGATAAATTTTCATTTTACAATTCCTATTTTATATTAGTTCGGGCCTGTCCAATAGAACGAAGAACTTTAAGTGTAACTGTCTTTAACCAGGAGAGAATTATGAATTATATGCCGACGTGAACGGATTAAATATTCCGTTTTGTGCTGGCCTGTCATCGATCAGAGCAGACAGCATGTTTAAAAGTTTAGTGGGTTAATAAGATTAGAAAAATATTCAGTTTGGAAACTTTTTTTATAAATAAATTATAATTTTATGAGTAATATTCTATACATTTTCTACTCCCTAGTGTTTAAACTTAAGTTTAAGAATAGTGTTAGCAATGGGTGCCCAGAAGGGGTTTCATGGCGCAAGATGCGCCATCAAAATTTGTGAAGGGAGTACATTTTGACGGGGTATTAAATTTTTGAGAGCGGCACATTTTGGCTGGGTCATGAATTTTTGGAATGGGAAGTTTAGAATTAAGAACAAGAGAAAAACGGAACAGATCGCAGTATGTGTAATTGTATATGATCTATGATCATTAAATTTTATTTTTGTTTGCACTGTCATTAAGAAGAGGAGAGAAATAAAATATCTTGGAAAGGAGAGGGGTAATGTTCTTGCGCCATCGACCTGTTTAATTTATTCTTAATGAGTAGGAAAGCCTTATTTATTCTCTCGTGTCAATTTTATAGGAAGAAATTTTTCATTATTATACTATCTTCAGAATTTAGGAAAACATGAAGATGAGATGTCTTAATGCTTAATATACAACTAATGGGACCCTTTCTAGTGTGCATCCAACCTTCTGTTATTGAAATAACAACCTAATTATAAATTACGACATGCTATCGAAAGAATGTAAAAACAAATAAAAATGTCTAATAATTTAAGATATTATCGTCGCTACCGTGTTAAAATAATGAATGTTAACCTCCTCAACATTCCATATTTGTTACTTACTTAAACATGGTGCCAACGTTATGTTTGACAAGGTAGCTGTTTGAAATTATTGAGAGGAAGAAGGTTAATTAGGTTTTCTCTTAAGTTGTATGAATACAATTATAATATCTTAGTATGTGTATATATGGTTCATCAATTTCTACACTGGTGATTTTAAGCTTGGAATAGTTGAATTTTGTAAGGACAGTAGATTTGATAGATACTTGGTCACTATGAGTAAAAAATGTGTAATAAAAACCATTACCACAACAAATATGTATGATTTTAATAATTGCCTGTAGGAAGATAAAATAAATTTTCAAGTGTAAATATAAACTGAAAATTTAGAAGTTTATATTACATAAAATTGAAATTCTGTAGACCAAGAAAAATTAAATCTGTAGATTATTCTGAGAAAGGATCACATTTCCTTGGGAGTGTAATGGGGGCTACGTTAACGAAGCCTTCTAGTAGGTACTTTTTATTCTAATGGATATTCATTTTCCATTAATTGCTCCCGGCTCAACATTTAGTACTTCAGTGTTTGACACATTAAAAAAAAAAAATTAAAACAAATGGAAGAACAATACTTTATACCGAAAGTATTTTAATAAGGAAGTAAGAAATGTGATGTATTTCGGGTTTGGAAATTGCCGATTTATTTTTCCTAATCCTTCATGCATGAGATTTTTATTTCCTCATCAGACCAAAATAAGACCCTAAGACAAAGTAAGATCCTCATCGAACCTGTCCTGACATTTCCAACAGAAACTTAAGGAATAATATTGGTGAAGGTTGTGGCTTCCTCCTTGCCGGTCATCTTGCAAGGATCAGCAACTCTAGGATTCCCAAAAGGCTAAGATCTTTAAGAGAAAGATCCTACATTGGAGTCGCCGAGCTTGAAGACATAAAGTAAGATTGCTGGATGTAGTGGCAACAGATGCTAGACTACTTCTTAACTCCTGAAAAAAATATATACATATATTTTGTAGAAATTTTGATACATAACTTGTAAGTCATAAGATTTGTTAACTATATGGACCAGTAAGCGAGAATAGATTTTTGATTATTTGACAAGCTTCTCATTTTCAAAAATATCCTACCTCTTTGAAAGTTTAACAGGTTTTAACCGATGGGATTAATAATTATTTTAACTTCAAATAAATTCAATTCGAAGCTCCAAAAACTATAGCCAGCATTATGTCGATAATAACATCATAGCTGCAATATTCTTTGCTCAATCTCATACATCCAAAATTTTCAGATTTGATAAATTATTAAACGATAATGAATCTCTTCTTATTCATTCATTATTCAACTAATTGGAATAAGTATTGTAAAACTGCAAGATTCTTTATAGCGTGAGAGAGGAATCATGATTAAGAGTCTCTACGCTTTATGAATATTGTAAATAAAGTATATCCAATTAATATTTGCTTAGTAACAATTAATATTGTTTTTTATGATTTTTAATTTAACCGTCATTGTCAGTATTAAACTATATGCTAAAAGTAATTAATGCAAAATTTATATAAATGATATAGTGTTTCTTTATTTAATCTCTTTGTTTATTGCTTTTTAGATTGCGGCATCAGGAATCCGATAAATAAAATAACGCCTGCTATCAAAGGAGGTATGAAGACTAAACAGTCGGAATACCCATGGCACGCTGGATTGTATCAAGATGATGGAGATGATGTTTCTTACATCTGTGGTGGAACGATCGTCCATCCCAAAGCTGTACTCACTGGTTTGTATTTTGAAATTCTGAAATCTACGACATATTATAATGATATTATGTCTTACAGATAGTTTTTATTAATTAAAACGAATTAAATTTATCAATTTTATTGATTATTATTATCAACTTGAATTATTATTTAAAAATACATTCTTTATCAAAGGTCTTGTTTACAAAAATACAAATATAAATGAAACTTGTTGAAACAACACAACCTTAGCACTGAAGACTACCTTCTTCATAAATCATTCTCTAATCTTGAAATTGATTCACTTACTTTATAATTGTATCTTCAACTATTGAAATGTCAGTTTCCACAGGAAAGGTTATTTAGTAAAACAACTTTATGGAATCAAGGAATAAAAACATTTACCCTCATTTTCCCCAACGTGTTATTAACTTTTCAATCATAGAGCTCATAAATATAGAGTTTCGTGAAGAAACGAAATCAAAAAGTGAGACCTGAGAATCATTTTCAAAAATTTCACCTTTAAGAAAGTTATCCAAATTTCTGAATGGATGGAAATAAGTTGGAGATGAGTCTGGCGAATAAGGTGGGTGTGGAAGAACTTCGTAACACAGCTCATTTAGTTTCTTCACTGTCTGTCATGAAAAATAACGTCTGGCATTAACATGCAAGATTATAGGTTCTTTCCGATTAACCGATGCAGATTGTTTATTGTCAAGATTTGATGTATTATGTCAATATCACTGCAGTACAATATGCACGTGATGGTTTCACCTCTGAGTAAAATGGAGAAATGAATTATTCCTGTTGTTACCACCACACTGAAACCAATAAACCACCATTGAATGGTCCGTTCATTAAAAAACTCTTCCTTGAACACCATGCCAATGTTTCCTGCAGGTTGGATTGCTGAGTATTCAAGTTTAAACTCATAAAAAAAATTACTCGAAAATCGCGTGTTTCCATGATCATATTTGTTGGCATTCTATACAATGAGCAATGAATTGAAATGATTAATAATAATTAATAAAAACTAATTGTAATCTGTAAACATAAACGCAGTTAACAACAAAAGTCCACTAGTCCCACTTAAAATTTGTTAAGTAATAAAAACGAGCATTTCATATGAAATGACATAATAGTAATGGCTGGTCTCATTTGACTAATTTTATACTCAACTTTGCAACTGACCTGACTACTGCAAGCGCTTGATGAGATTTAAATAACTCGCTGAAGGTTCTAGGTTGCAAGTTGATGACAATTTGTTAGTGCTTCTCTTAAAACAGTGTGAATAACATAAATATAGAAATAAAGAAAACAACCTTATTGAAACATACCAGTTCAAGTTAAATTGTGGTAGGATAGATGCTAATAAATAAGTACAAAATCTGAATCAAGTGTAATGTTCCCAGAAGCCTTAGTGCTGGAATAGAAACAGCCATATCCCCAATCCAGATTGGAACCGGTGAAGATGAAACCAACATAAATTCATAAAAGTCGTTATTATCTGGTGTGTGAATAAGTTATCGCCTTTTTTATCTAGAGAAATTTTGTGTAAACCAACTTTATTCAAGCGTTAATCCTCTTTAGGGTAAAGTCACCAGTAGTAGACACTATTGTGAAACTTCCAATAATTTTAAATGTAACTTTAGATTTTTTTCAAGCTTCCTTTTTTTTGCTATATTTGTCCAGCAACACTATTATGTGACCTAAAGTCCTTCTAAGATAACTTAAACATTGATATTTAGCTTGTTTTTTAGATATTTTTCGGGAACATGTTTTTTCACTAATACTACACATCAGTGTACTAATACAGAATATAACTAGTAGTAGACAAGAAAATACACCAATAGATGACACCGCTTAATTAATATATTTAATTTATTTCTAATCAAATATGCACCTATATTGGCAGTTTTTACTAAGGAACTATGATTTTTAAAAAATGCAAACTTCAAAAAATGTATTGAAAAGAAGGATGGTTGGATTGTTCAATTAAATTTAAATGGTAAAAAAAAAAATAATTTATTTATTTATTTTTTTTACCATTTCAATTTGACTGAACACCACATCCATCCTTTTTTTCAATTATTCACTACAGTCAACCATAAACCCACAAAAAATTTATTTTTTAAATTAAATTACATTTGTAGGTGAAAAGGAACAAGACATTTCTGGGAAAAATTCGAATACTCTCATGCTCAGAATAGAACTATGAATAATATTCAATCATTACTACAAAAAAGTTGAGTTTTCTAGTAGTAAAGACTTCTGCCTACTACTGGAAAAAAGAGGTATTATCAGTATCTCAGTATTATTGTTTTTGTGCTCAATCAAACAAAACTAACACACAAAAACACGTTACCTAGTGAGTTCATAGTCTACACTATCATTTAGATAAAAAAAATTGTGAAAAATCTTGGACAATATAAGAATAATTGATGAAAATCAAACTCCCATCCTCAGCTGGTTTTGGTAACAGCAGGTCTTTGGATGACACTGCAAAGATATCAGCTGCTCTAACCTCTCTACTGCTCAGTTGGTTCGCTACAGCATTCTAATGGCTACACAGTATAAGCTAAAGTTTAAAATGACGCCAAATTCAAATCATTCTGGTGGTTCCAACTTTGGTTTTTTTAAGTTAAAGTTTCATGTGTCTACTACTGGTGCCTTTACTCTACTCCGGTTATCAGTATATTTTAAGCCCTCAAAGTGTACATAACGTTTTTCATATGTCTTCAAGCATGGCATATTTCGTACTGCAAATAGTGTAATAAATTTCCCCTCAAAAATGGTTCTGAGGAGAATGTTATTACACTATTTTTCCCAAAAGAAAACTGCAGGTGAAGGGCATAGAATTCTTTACAGCAATGTGCTCTATCAGAAAGAACACCCAGTGAATGGTTTCAATGCTTTAGAAACGATGATTTTGATCTCGGAGATGACCATCGTCCAGGCACCCCGTCCAGGCACAGTTGTTTTACTCTTCTGAAATTCCCTGTAAATCCAGATTTATTTCTTTTGAATTTCTCAGGAATTCTTTTTCATCTACTTCATTTAATTTTTTGAAAATTAAACAATCTGAATAATTTTAATTTAATTAATTTTTTTATTTATTAAAAAAACTAAAACATAATTTAGTTCGCGCTTCAGGGAATCATCTCCATAAATTTACAATATGCACTAAATGACTTCTTTTTTGTTATAAATTACAATTTCCATACATACAATTACAATTTCCATAATTAAAACTTAAACAAAATAAAGGAATATTCTTTTTCATTTCTACAGGTTTATCACACTGGTACGCCGACTTGACTCTAGTCCAAATAGTACGGATTAAAAAACCTTCTATTTTATCGGAAAAACAAAACTTTGTTTTCTTGGAAATCCCTTGAAAATATATCTCGACTACCGATTGAGATACATATATGTGATAGGCAGTGCTCAGCTACATTTGTGGTCAACAATTTCTTCTCAATTAGCAATATTTCCTCCTGGGACAGTATTAATAATAAAAAAAAGTTAATATTTGAAGTTAAAAAAAGTATGACACCAATCAGGCTGGTGATTATGATTTTATTTATTTTTTAAAATAAATAATAAGGTTTTAGTTTATCATCCTGCAAATGACTTCGTTTACTTCTTATTTAGAACTTTTTTTTTTTTAATTTTCAGCTGCCCATTGTGTATACAACGAAACAAGGAATAGCATGATAGATGCAAGACTGCTGAAAGTTGCCGTCGGAAAGTACAGAAGCAATTGGAACATCAAAGAGGGTACTGAACAAAAATTTTCGGTATTTCTTCTTTTCTATGATGAAATATTACTTTCCTGTAAATTGTTTGCATGGGGATTCATTTAAATTCCATTTTAGGTAAAAGAGATAATTATTCGAGATAAATACGTCGGGAAGAGTAACAGATTTGAGCAGGACATTGCCATACTTGACCTCAAGTCAATAATCTTGCTCAGCACCGCTGTCATGCCAGTTTGTTTTGACAGAGGTGAAAGTTTAAGTTTATACCAAGGATTGAAAGCAGTTGGTACTGTAAGTTAAAATTATTTATTTTACATATTTAAATAATTAAATATTTATATACATATTCTACTAGAGCAGGGGATTCCAAAAAAATTAGGATACTTATCTAATAGCGGGTAGCGTCCGACTGCTATCTGCCAATGTTTATAACCTTAACACTGATAAGCTTTTCATATTTATTGTATTATATTCATATTATTATATGTTCGTATTAATATTTATTGTATTGTATTGATAATATTGAAATTGTGAACAAAAACAGAAACAAATGTAATAATAACAAAATGTTTTTATTTTACAACGTATATATTAAAATAGACCAAAACATTATAAATATATAATTAAAAATCATTACGAAAACATTGCCACCACATATATATAAAAATAAATAAAATAATAAAAATAGGCAAAAAAAAGATGAAATAATAAAAAATTACTTAAACAGCATATGTACATATAAAACAAACATTATGAAGAAATGATAATCTCCATTTAATCTTCCTGTCAAACTTCATTTTATGACCCTCATCACAATATTTCACCTTATCATATATACCGGCGTCTTGAAAATATATGATAGCCTCTTCTTCTGAAGACGGCAATTCCCACAATGTGACAAGATCCATAATTAAATAAACTCACTCCTGGAACAAGAAACAAAAACTAAACAACAGAATAACTTAAGTTAGATGAGATAAGGGAGGTTATCTGAAATGAGATTAGATAGGTTTTGACGCTACCCATTATTGCATAAGTACCAAAATTAGTAAATCTAGTTACAATGTCCTTGACAGAAAATTTCAACAAAGTTAGAATCTGAAATTATTTATCCGAAAAGTTTGAGAAGTTTGAGATTCATTTGGGTTTAAAACAAGGTGGTTCCCTTTCACTTTTGTCTGTTTAATTTAGTATTAGAAAGTGCCATTTTGGAGCTAATGCGTACTGAAATAGGTTTGAATCTGGGCAGAACAATATCCGCGGTTGGTTATACTAGTGATTTGGTACTGTTAAGCGAAGACATGGAAACAATAAGACTAAATACAACTACATTAATGAAAGCCAGTAAGGAACTGAATGTCAAAATAAGTACGGATAAGTCAAAATATATGGTTGGCTGCAAAAATAGATTCAATTATGGTGATATTGATATATAAGGGAATATGTTTGAACATATAGAAAAGTTTAGTTATCTAGGGTCTACAATAACTAAAAAAAAAATGGGATTGAAGAGAAGATTAAGGTTATGTGAAAGACTGGAAATGCCTTTTATTTTTCTGTGATAAAACTACCTAACTCATTCCTGTGGTTTCAAAACTTAAAAATGAGAATTTGCTAATCCATTATCATTCTTCTACGGTTCTTTATGGAAGTAAAATATGATTACTTGGATTAAGAGATGAACAACGTCTTTTATTAGGTTTTTGAAAATAAAGTATAGCATAGAAAATTCGACCCATGAAGGATGAGTCAATCAGAGAATTTAGACAGTTATAAAACGCTGAATTGCGTAAACTTTATTTAGTTAATCTAATTGAGGTTATTACTTTGCAGTGTATAAAATGGGCTTGTAAAATTGTTGGGCTTGGTAACTAAAGAATTCCTAAGAGGTTAAATAACCTTTTCTATTGAAAATATTGTCAGCTTTAATTTCATAGATCACATTATTATAGATAGAATAGACAGTTTCACTGATATAAGCAAAAAACAAAAAAAAATAAAGGTTTTGAATCGTAAATTCAATTTTTCGACTTGAAATCTACGGGTATGAGGTAAATGACTATTATTTTATGTCTTAAGACTATAAATACTATGAATTAAAGGGATTGGTAGTTTTATATATCTATAAGCCCTCCCTAATATGCTCTACAAGCTATGTAGGGTCTCTATCTATCTTTAAATGGCCGCCATTTTGTATTTCAGTGGCTATATGCTGGCAGATATGCATTTTTCTCATCAGGCCTTTGGATACGATCAGTTTATAAGGACAAAGTTTAGTATGAAATATGACACTTTTTTTGCTATGCGTTCCCGGTCTATGAGTATTCAATAAGAAAAAAATATATTTATCTTATACACCTGATGCTTATTTTAGCCTTGAAGATATCTCACATGGTTGGGTCGAAACATAAAATAAAATAAAAATTACTGTCTTAATTATTTATCGTCTATAGGTAGAACAGTTGATTAAGTTCTGTCAATATTTTAATATTATTTAAAATTGTTAATTTTTAAATTAATATAAAATATCATTTATTGTTAATTCTAAGGTTGTAGGTTGGGGTATTACTGATAATGGTGATATAAGTGATGCATTGTTAGTCGCTACATTTCCTATTCTGGATTTTCATGACTGCCGTGTAAAAGCTGATAACTCTTTTTCCTTCTATATCACTTACGATAAATTTTGTGCAGGATTATCAAATGGTGAGGTTATTTATTTATTTTTTATGATCGACAATTAAAATTTTGTTCTAGATTATTATAATAACAATATTTGTATTTTTTGGAAAGGTACCAGCGTTCAACAAGGAGACAGTGGTGGTGGGCTAACATTTCCCAGATTTAGCAATGGAGTCGAACAGCATTTTATTTATGGAATTGTTAGTTTAAAGCCAAAAAATTCTGATGATATAGCTGCATTTACGAACATTACTGAACATATGGAATGGATCGATAGAGTTCTAAATGCAATCAAAAGTTCTAAAACTTTAAATTAATATTTATTCCCCTTTAGTATGGTAATGAAAACTTAACATAAAATTAAAAAAAAAAAAAATATTGAATGAATATATTTCAATCAATATGATGGATCTGGTATAGATGATTAAAAATGCAAACGATGATATTAATTATATAATATAAAATAAGGTGGGCATTTATGAAACGCCAAAGAGATATATATGTATGATGGAAATTTAAGTTATTTTTGATTAATCAAAAACAAGTTTAATAACAATAATTTTGAAAAAATAGATCAAATCCATGGTTTAACATTTCTTTATAAAATAATAAGACCTTGGGAATCAATTTTCGAAATATATTCGTGTGTAATGTTTTAATTGAAATACTAATTTTGTGACACTTAGAACAATTAAATACATTTTTAATAAAATGTTTTCCTATTTAGGGTAGCTGTGTTATTTTACTTTATAGAGCTGCGTAATGTTTTTCTTATTGCCTCGTTTATTGATAATAGTATTTTTAAAATATTATTAGGATATTTCACATATTTTTATTATTTTTTTAATTGGTCTAAAGCTGACTTTGTAAGAAAATTTATAACTTTATTATTATTAATTTTATCTAAAAGACCGTATTTTTATATCGACTGTTAAAGTTAATATATATATTTATTGATTTTTAATCGAGGGATCGGAAATCTCGTTATTGGTGACAGAGATATTCATAATTATGTATAAAAATTATTATTTCTTAAATCTTTTCCTTATCTAAATAATAAGAGGGTAAATAGAATGTAGTTTTTTAAATATATATTTAAAACATATTTAATTGTGTTGTATGTTTACAGAGATTAATAGTTTATTTTATAGTGGTAAGTAGTTCCATCAAGTATTTATTCATTAAATAGTTTTCATTGATTCATAAGTCCATATACATTTACATATAGTATTAGAATTTTATAAATTTGACGTCAAAGTCATAAACTCTCAATCTGAATCTCATAATAATTATATATTTATGTATTTGTTTGTTAAATATTAAAAATCATACTTTTTATACTGCTGTGATATATATTTTTCTTTGGTAAATGTTTTAATTTATTTTCTTTTGTTATTATCTTCATTACTTGGTTATGTAGAAATTATATTTTAGCTGAATCATTTAAAAATATATAATTTTATTTTTTATTATGTTTTTTTTTTTATTTATTTTTCTAAGCTGAAAGAAAATCTTATTAATTATGGTATTTTCTTATTTATTTTCATTATCATTTGTAGTAGACATCCCCTGGTATTTACTCATTTATGTGACATTGTGTGAGGGAATGAGAAGGAATATATAGGAATGTGAGGTTGCACTGTGAATTGTACTCAATTGTGCAGTGGACAAATTGTTCATTGAAAAGTCTCATATCGATAAACAATCGATGAAGAAGGAAAAAGGTCCGTTCAGGCAGCAGCAAAGAAGGAGGCACTTGAGGCCTAGACGCGAAGACGAGAGGACATTACCTGAGATGAGAGACGCACTACATTGAAGACTAAGAATATCAAGCCTACAGTTATAAGACTTTTATACATTAATTTATTACAGTTGTTAAAATAAATTGTTTTATTATACAGGAGTGAAAAGTCATTTTATTTAGTTGTCCTATAGGCCTCACAATTGAAGAATAACAAATCAGGTGAGTCAGTTCATTTAAAGTGTATTTACTCAGTCCCATTTCATATATATATATTCTTATTGTTTCTTCTCACTCAAGTGTCACAAAAAGTATTAGATTCCCGAATACCCAACGACAGTTAAACACCCTGAAAAAGTCTATATCTAGTGCCGGGGTTTTGTTTAAATTATCACGAGTATAAATAACCTAGTTCCCCGATAAAGCGGAAGAATATTTACAATTTCTGCCAAAACTAATTATTTACAATTAACATTTAACTTGTTATTTACACATTGCATCATCTGTAGCCTCTCTAAATCCAATTTTTTTAAGACATTCTAAAGTCTCTTTTGATATTTAAGCGATACTGATTAGTTACCAAGTTTTCTTTTTGAAGGAAATTAAAACAGGTTTCACATGTCTTTATTTGAACAAAATATGCGTCAGAGAATGGCTGTCCTACATTTTAAAGATTATTTTTTTTAAGTTTATATTACACCATTATTAAATAATAAGATATACAATGATGTGAAAAAGTTTTCGGTACTACTTCACTAGCAGGCCGGGTCGAAATCTCACTTCTTATCTATGTTATCTAACGTCAAGTCACATAACCTCTCTCTTCTTATCTCGCCAAACCTTTCAGTTATTACAATGTTTATTTTTCAGTTATTCCCTTATTATGTTCACTTATTAAATTCTTTATTTTTGGCACGTTTGTGTTTATTTTCGTCAATGTTCTTTAAGTGTTTTTTTATTATTTCATTTTGATCTTTTATATTTTATACGATTATGGAGCTCAGCTAAGTGGAGAAATGAAATACATAGAGGAACTGCCAGACAACACCTCGATGCATATTTAGGCGAATTTTTGGGGCGGCGGGTTCACAAAGAAGAGGACCCATTCCTCGCTATTTTAAATAGCATAAAACTATTTTGCGTACCAAAATAAATAAGATAAAGTGAAAATAAATTGTACATATGTCGTTTATAGTGTTGACATTTTTCTTTTATATGTACATATGTTATTTAAGTGTTTTTTTATTATTTCATTAATATATGTTTTTTTGTTATTACATTTGTTTTTGTTTCTGTTTAAACTTTCAATAATACGAATATAATACGAAGATAGGAATTACGAGAAGGCTTATCACTGCCTTATTGGAATTATCAGTGTTGAGGTTATAAACATTGGCAGATAGCAGTCCGTCCCGCCCTCCTAGTGAAGAAGTACCAAGTTTTCAAACAAACCAAATTTTCTATAAAACATGATAAATGTTTCAATTAAAAAATATTTTTATCTTCTTAGTTGTAAACTGATTTATGCTTAAAAACATTGTAGACGTAATATATATGTAATAGGATGTATAAAAAAAAAATCACAATTTTGCAACCAAATATTTGTATTATTATTTCTTTGATATAAAATACAATTAATACTCGAAGTATAATCCATTTTTATCTACTTTCATTAGCCAATTGCTCGGTCTCATGCTAATACCATTCTTTGGAATGGCTGTCAACGAATTCTCAGACTGCAATTTCACCTTCCGCAAAATTGTCAAATTTTTTGGAGAGAAAATTCTTGACTTTCCCACCACAATTTGGCCACTAATGCACTGCTCTAAACGCATAATGATGATTTGAAGTAGGCCAAATCTTAACTAATTCTTGAATGTAGTGTTCAGATAATAAATTTGAGCAAAATAATGGCATTGAATAGAAGTAGAATTAAGATATTATAGATGTATGGAAACTTTTTTGACCTCCAGATTAAAATTGTATCTCTTCCTGCTATGGAATTAGCAATCCTTCATGAACTTGTTATCATGTTAATATACCTTTGTCTCTATTATCCTTCCTGAATAATAAAAATAATATAATAAGTAGATTATTAGCAATGTTAAAGAAAAACTAACTACATGGAAACTTTTTTGAGGCAGTGCAAATTGCTTTTTCTTGTTTAGAGAAAGAAAAAATGGTTTTCTCCTGGCAACACAACCTTACCGCCAAATGGTAGAAGTTTTCTTTAAGGAGGACAAAACTTATGCCCTTGTAACATCAGATATTGCCTGAGCCAGTTCTCTGCTAGATTTTTAGTGGTTGTAGAAATACAATAAGCTGCAAGAGTATGTTTTTTAAACCTGTCTGAACTTTTCAAGTTTATGTTTTTTAAAAATTGTTGACATTATTTATTTAATTATGCCTCCCTTCCTTGCCTTTCGGCTACACGGGATTTTGCAGGGATGTCATATTACACACGTGCATGCCATTCCTGCTATTAAACCACAAATTAATTTTCAATTTTGTTTTGTTTTGTTTTTTCGAATATCTTCTTTTTTCTATGAGGAGTTAATCGGGGGGTGCGGTAAAATAAATACTAAATTAAAATATAGTAACTATTTTAATTTTGCCGCTTTGCTTGTCTTCAGGGCTTGCAAAAGATACAAAACATGTTGAAAATAAAAAATAAATATTAGTAGATATAAAATAAGAAGAGGTTGTCAGATACAGAAATAAAAGATGATATCAGAGATATAGTGGGTGATAATGTAGTTAAATATTAAATATTATATATGTAGAAGATACAAACAAATGGAAAATAAGTATGAATAAAAATAAAAATAAAGGAGAATATAGCAGATAAGTTAAAAGTAAACAGATTGCGATAAAACATAAGGAATAAGTGTATAACAAACTAATAAAGATTGCATTAGATAACTGTAGGGTTAACAGATAAAGAAAATAAATGTTAACAAATAAATAGATTGAAAATTGAATAAGTATTGTTAATTTTCATGCTCAGTAAGGAATTGAGAGACCCAGTAGTCCAGGAGAACCCACGAAGCTTTCAAGTGATTTCGAACGGTGGGGAAATATTTTCTTAAAGTTGCACCTTTCAAGGTAGTTACCCACTGCCGATTCCACTCATCTATGGTATCCTCCCGGATAATCCTCTTCCATTTTCTTGGGTCTTCTGCAATCCTCACCCGGATATTCTCCGGAATTGTTGACATGAATTACAAAAATAAAACCTTCAACTTCTTTTTTAATTTACCTGATTATAAGTCCTTGTTGGTGCAAAATTATAATTTTATTTTCTTATTTGTTTATATGTAATATTAAAAAGCATTAAAATTCCTACAAGAATGTTTATTAAAATGAACATTCTGGTAGAAAGAATAAGCATATCAGGTCTGATATTATAGTTGAAAGCACCTGTCATAGTATTTACTGTTATTGCCACACGAACCGTCAACTATTGTCAAAGAATTCACACTACCAGTGTTTCAACTGCCTCCCGCAGTGCTACTTCCAATGCCCTGATGAAAACGTGGGTCGAAACGTCGGCATAATAATTAAATAATACTATTTCTATAATTTATTATTTATTTGACCGCATCAACTCCT